CTACACATTTTAATCCTATCTGTAACCATTGCTACATAATAGGGATTCTCGTTTTCTTGCCTGTTGTATTTTTAGCCCATTCTAGGTGTGTTCCATGATGTACATAAGATTCCATACTTTTCTTGCCTCCTTACTGTTAGGCCTGGTAATGGTTCTTAAAACCCAAAAGAAAATGTCTATGGCCCTTTCTATTGCTAGGCTTGGTCACTGATTATTAAAACAGTAATTAGTATTCTGGCCTAGTGTAATGTTAGCCACAGCTGTACTTCTTAGAACTTGAGAAGGGCCACACAAGCATTCCACATGCCAATCCATCCTGTAAAAAGTGATGACTCATTTTTAGAGGTCTTTCAGTCCCTGAGCTTGAGTGACACTCACACCGAATGGATGTGGATAATTATCGGCTCCCAGACTCACTCAGTCCATGAGCAGATACTTTCTGAGACTCACACTAGAAGTCTCTCTCTTTCAGTCCCCGAGTGAGCAGCGAGGGCGAATCACACTGGAGGCGTCAACAGCCCTCGGCTGGAAGTCTCTCCTGGTCCCTGAGGCTCCCCAATTGAGTCTCAAACTGGAAGGGAATCCTTTTGGATCGCTTCCCTCACTGGTCAATGATGATCATGATCATTGCAGTCCATGAAACCCGAGAGACAAAAGAGATGCACTATTCCTGATTCCATCTGCACCGCCCCCCATGTTTAGGCATGGACCCTTGGTCACGCCTCCTTCGCCCCCTGCCACTCGCCTCAGCCCATTTACAGCCAGCTTTCCTCCTCCGTTGCCCTCCCGCAGCCATTCTCCACGGCCAGTGGACCCTTGGCCCTCTGCCCGTCGCCCTTCGGCCTGGACAATTCACCCAGACACCCTTTGTCCCGGGCCTTTGGCTATATGGGACAAATAGCCCCCAGCCATGGTGCTGCGGGGGCAGCATGCGATGAGCAACCCCAGGGGCTGGGGAGGGCAGCTGTGATGCAAGATTTTTTTTAAAAAGTGCTGTGGCTGCTCTGCATGTTTTGGGGCCTTGCAGCTCTGACCCCAGAATCGGAAGGAGGGGGACTAGCAGCAGAAGTAGCAACCACCGGGGCCACTGGGGGGAGCAGTCAGACAAGAGTGTGTTGGGGAACGAGGGAGGGAGGGAGGGGCACCTCCAGGGGACTTCACAAAGACAGCTTGACTCGCAACTCAAACGAAAGAGAGGAGGAGGAGAAAGGCCGGAGCAGCTTCTGCCACAGCCAGGGAGGCGGGTTAGGGGGGCACACAGGCAAACAGAGGGCGGGTGTGCTGCTGGAACTGGAGCGTCATGGGAGGGAAGCGTGGGCTAATGGGACTGCTTGCGCCTTGGGAGGGAAGGGAGGGCAACTGGCAAGGGCTGGGGATGATGGGACTGCGTGCGCCGTCGTGGGAGGGAAGGGAGGGCAAATGGCAAGGGCTGGGGCTGATGGGACTGCGTGCGCCGTCGTGGGGGGGAAGGGAGGGCAAATGGCAAGGGCTGGGGCTGATGGGACTGCGTGCGCCGTCGTGGGGGGGAAGGGAGGGCAAATGGGAAGGGCTGGGGCTGATGGGACTGCGTGCGCCGTCGTGGGAGGGAAGGGAGGGCAAATGGCAAGGGCTGGGGCTGATGGGACTGCGTGCGCCGTCGTGGGAGGGAAGGGAGGGCAAATGGCAAGGGCTGGGGCTGATGGGACTGCGTGCGCCGTTGTGGGAGGGAAGGGAGGGCAAATGGCAAAGGCTGGGGCTGATGGGACTGCGTGCGCCGCCGTTGTGGGAGGGAAGGGAGGCAAATGGCATGGGCTTGGGGGTTGGAACTGTGACCCGTCGTGGGAGGGAAGGGTGGGTAGAAGCCACGCTGGCCTTGCTGTTTGCCTGTGTGCCCCCCTAACCCGCCTCCCTGGCTGTGGCAGAAGCTGCTCCGGCCTTTCTCCTCCTCCTCTCTTTCGTTTGAGTTGCGAGTCAAGCTGTCTTTGTGAAGCCCCCTTGAGGTGCCCCTCCCTCCCTCCCTCGTTCCCCAACACACTCTTGTCTGACTGCTCCCCCAAGTGGCCCCGGTGGTTGCTACTTCTGCTGCCAGTCCCCCTCCTTCCGATTCTGGGGTCAGAGCTGCAAGGCCCCAAAACATGCAGAGCAGCCACAGCACTTTAAAAAATCTTGCATCACAACTGCCCCCCCCAGCCCCTGGGATTGCTCATTGCACGCTGCCCCCGCAGCACCATGGCTCCTGCCTGCCACCCAGTTGGCTGTGGGCTATTTGTCCCATACAGACAAAGACCCAGGACAAACGGTATCTGGGTGAATTGGCCGGGCCGAAGGGCGACAGGCAGAGGGCCAAGGGCCCACTGGCCGTGGAGAACGGCTGCGGGAGGGCAGTGGAGGAGGAAAGCTGGCTGTAAATGGGCACGGGTGAGTTGATGGGCTGCATTTCTTGGGCAAAAGGCTGCACTGCTGCTGAGGCCATCCTGACTCACAGAGGTGATGCCAAGGCACTCCTGACGGGTCTTCCAGCCCCTGAGTTACTACTCTGTGAAACTCACACTGAATGAGTAGGCAGCCAGACGCTCCCAGGCTCGTCCAGCCTCTGAGCACACACTCTGTGAGACCCACCCTGGGAGGGAGACCCTTTCAGTACCTGAGTGAGCAGCCAGGGCGAGTCACACTGGAGGAGTCAACAGCGCTCAACTACAAGCCTCCTCCGGTGCCCTAGCTGAGTCTCAAACTGGAAGGGAATCCTTTTGAATCGCTTCCCTCCCAACCTCATACCCTGAGAAATAATGTCAGCTGCAGCCAGATCTCTTGGAACCAAAAGTAAACCTGGTGACACACTTTAATACGAGGTATTGCCATCTCTACAAATTAATAACTAGTTTTTTGCTAGAGTGAAACATTATGTCCTCGAACTGGAAAATAAATCTGTGTGACCCTTTTAAATTCTAGATGTGGCCATTGAAACCGTGAGTAGATTTCTTGCCTGGCTTAATTTAGGCACGATGGTCGTTCTTAGAACCAGAAAGCATCTCAATGGCCCTTTTTAACGCTGGGTGTGCCGGTGATTGATAATAGATTTTATAGTTTTCTGCCTGGCATAAATTTAGCCACAGCCATAGTTCTTAGAACCAGACAGAAAACCTCAACCGCTCTTTTTAATGTCTGGTGTGGCCAGTGATTGATAAAAGATTTCTGTTTGGAATAATTTTATCCACGGCTGTTGTTTAAAATGTGTAAGTTATGTTTTGACTGATAAATATTAAACATGACACACAGTATGGCGGTCACCTCAAGAATTTTGATTTCTTTTGTCACACACATTTGTCTTTTTGTTCCTGAAATTTCTGTTTGACATTTATTTTTTGTAATACAACTCAGTTTTACTCCTGATTTACTGTTGTTAAGTAGTTGTGATGCTTATGGTAGACAAGTTTTATCTTTTACCTGTTTTTATGTATTCTTTCTTATCACCATCTCTTCACCAAGAGATACCTGTTGTGATATTTATGTATTTGAACACTGAAGGTGTGTTTTCTTTCTTCTGAGAAAAATCTTTTGATGACAACTATGGTTCCTTTTACACCTCACCTTTTGTCAAAAATGTCATTTTAAATTAGTGAACTATTTAACCCATGGTATTTTATCATTGCTTTTGTAATTTTTGTGTGACTTTTTATCCTTAAAATATTGGATTATGCTGTTATGTATTTTATCTGTAAGACTGTATTATGTTTTGAATTGTTGTACAAACTGTTGCAACTGGGTAACGCTTGGAAGATATGATGCAGAACAATAAAGTATTTTTCGAGTCTTCCTTCACTACATTTGGGATCCTGCAGCAGGAGCTTGGGCACGTTGTGCTCCTGCCCTTTGCCGAAATCACCGAGGATCATCTTTTGTAAGGATTTGGGGGTTTGGTATATTCAGAAATGTCCTGTTCTACCAAAATAAACTTCCAATGAAGTTTTTTGTGCTTTACATAACAGTTTAGGTTTCTCTCTCTCTCCCTCCCTCCCTCCCCCCTCTCTCTCCCTCTCTCTCATCCACAGGAGGGCAGGCTTTGCTGCTTTGACTAAACTCAGTTTTATAGGTGTTTGCTTATTATGTATATTCCTTTATCAAAGGTGTACTCCGAGTGCCCCTACGAGACAGGTTGGCAACCTGCGGCTCTGGAGCCACATATGGCTCTTTGTGGCTTATTAATATTAATAAGGTTTTAATAATAAAGAATAATAATCTTAAAACGCCATTAAAGAGGTTTATTTTTGTGGCTGCAGTATCTGATTTGACCAGTTAGCAGGGCTGGCTCAGGAATTCTGGGAGTTGAAGTCCACCAGTCATCAAAGAGCCAAGGTTGCCTACCCCTGCCTTAGCTATAGGATGGAGACCATTAAAAAAAGCCTACCATGGACTCCAAGCTAAAGCTATGGGATGGAAAATTGTGCCCTCCTGTGGTCAAAAACGGGCATTGCGGCCACCGAAAGAAAGAAACCTTTTAAATGGGATTTCCCCCCCCTTTCTTATTAACGCCTTATTAATATTAACAGGGCGATGGGAGGGCCTTTTGCTGCGACACAGGGGCAGAATAAGATAACCTAATATTAGTAATATGTAGGGAACCCTACACCATTCCAGACAAAGAGGGAAGGAAGGTGCCGTAGCTTCAGCCCAGTGCAGCAGCGCAACAGATCAGAAACGGCAACTGTGCTGCAGAGGTGGCCTTATCAACAAACTGGACTAAATGCTTCAGCCAGACTGGACAGTTGTCTCACAAATGCTTTTGGCAACTTCACCGCAATGCTGGGAGTGAAGGCTCTCATTCTGGATGTAGGCGCAGCCATGATCATCCAATATCCCGCATCAACTGGGGCTGAAGGCAGTTCTGTCTAGCCATCTAAGAATATCTGCTGTGCTGCAAAATGTAGAGATGATTTTGGCTGGGTAATTGTGGGGTTGAAGAAACTGACAAACCTTTACACTTCTTTTTAATCAGGATAGAATAAAGAGGAGCAACATTTGCATTAATTGCAGTACAACTTTTATTAATACTGAAATCTTCACAGTGCATTTGTTACCTGTAGCGGTGGCTATTTTGAATGAAAAAAAGATTACGTAACTAAATTGGAAGAAAGGGCGTATGTGGCGAAGCTCGGACTGCTAGAAGGAAAATAAATTATGGGATGGGAAGGAAGAACAAGTTAACAGCACCAGGACAGTTACATCAACTGAAGGACATTTTAGAAGGTTTGTTTCTCCTTGTACAAATCAAATGGGAAAAGCAAAAAGCAAGGATCTCACGGTCACGTTTGAGGTGTGTGGAAACCACAGGAGGGCAGGCATGTTAAAACGAAAGTATTATCACACGAGGCAAAGAGTCGGGCCTGCAATGATGCGCACACACAGGTGGATGGAACTGGATGGGGAGGAAACAGCTATGTACAAGGTAAGCTTTCCTCTTGGGATGCTGCCCCCTCAAAGGCCTTTGGGGGGACAGGCTGCCTCTCCACTGCCAAGGAAGCCCCCAGCCCTTCTGGGCCCACTGCAGAACCTCTCCTGCCCCGAGCTCTTTACCCCTCAGAACAGGGCCTCAGAAGACTTCATGTTCTCCAGAGGTGTAAACTGGAAGTCCCAACACCAGGTTCGGAAAATCAGTGCCCTAAAATTTTCTACCCTACATGTCCTAGTTCTATGCTTAAATTTGATGTGTGCTTCTTGAAATAACTCAAGTTTTCTAAATGTACTTTTTTCCCTACTGGTGAACATACTGGAATCCTTAATTGATGCAACAGCAGCAAACATTCAGTTTCAATTTTGTTCTCTCCGCTTCGTGCTCATGTGTATCATATGTTGACCTCTGGATGCCCCCTGTACCACAGCATCAAATAGCTGCAACCAAAAACAGGAGAACGAGCAGAGTTGCAACCTGCAACCACACATGCAGCAATCTCCTTCCTAGCTCTGCCCAAGGCAAGGCAGCTTTTCTCAAAGCTTTTGTGTGTCTACGCCGTTCAGTTTCCACTCTTTTCCGTTCTCTCCAACCTTTCAAAACCATCTTCTCTTTCCTGCCATCACTTTCCTTTTGCCAACAGAGACTAATTTCTAGTTTCAGGGAGAAGTGAAGGTCACCAGGTCAGCACTTAGGAGAAGCAGATGCCTTCACATCTCTTTAGATCTGGATGCAGACCATGGAAAAGCTGCATCGCACATCAGCTGTGAATAAATGCATTATGGCTACGTTTGGCATCATTTCTGCCAACATTCCCATTAAAAATCTTCCTGTCAACTACAAAAATAGGCAGATTCCACATCTGTAAACAAAACTGGTCGGGACTATACAATGAGGCGAGCCTCTTTGATGCAACACGGTCTGGGGATGAAAGTGCAGAACTGTTTGATGAGACAAGAATGAACAATGTGGAAAGGTAACCGAGGCAGGACAGAGCCCAGGCATGGCTGCCACAAAAGTAGCCCAGGCGCAGGCAGAGGCCAAGGAGAGGCGCAATGAAATCTCACTCCAAGGCAGGTCAATGGCTCAGGCCACTGGGCGAAGCTGAGCAAGTCTGGGCCATGGCTCTCCTCGTAGCTTCCATCCTTGGCCGTCAAAACCATCCCACCGTGAAATTGCTGTAGGTTCCCAAAAGGAGAGAGAGGAGCCGTTTCCAGTCCCTCTTGTGTTTCGGCCATTCTCCCCTTCTCTGGTACAGCTTCAGCATCGCTTGTGCTCTTCCAAGGGAGCCAGGCCATGTGGCTCAGCCTTGTGGAAGAGGATTCTGAGTGCCATGGGTGGCCTTGCACATCATGTGGAGCTGAAATCAAGCCAAGACTGGCTTTGTGGAGCATGTGAACCCAGCCGGCACCAGCATGTCAAACCAAAGGCACCAGTCAGGGTGATCTGCCAGACCAATCGTAGTCGCAGAGCTGAGGGCTTTTCTCTGTTCAAACGATTCCCCCAAAGCATCAAGCAAAGGAGCATCTCCTGAACCCCTTTTTGTTTAGTTGATCAAGAGTCCAGATTGGTCTGAGAAGAGAGGTACCTGCCCAAGGGCAGCTACCCTGATGTTCCCTCAAACCAGCCTCCTTTACATCCCAGATCCAGGGGACCTGAGGCCTTTAGATGGCTTGAGGCAAGCACTGTGCTGAAGATGCCCCACCCTGGCATTGGTCCTTCACCAGAACTCTCCCCCTTCAAGAAAGGCCTGTGAAGCCCACTCCTGCTTGAGGCAGAATCCTCCCCACATCTGTACCTGGCCTGATCTCCACCCTCTTTTTCGACAGGCATTCTTGCATTCTGCCACAGAAAAGGCTCGGGGGAGTCAATGTGCCCATGTGCCTCCATGCAAATCGTGCTGTAAATCATGCCTCAAAGCACACTGCTTGCACTGCCTGCCCTGCCCCAGGGAGGCCTCTGGCCTCCGTGCAGCTCAAGCCAGACATGGGGACTGGATTGGGCAAGGAAGAGCCCCTTCTTAAGGAAATTAAGTCCTCTCCCTGAAACAGTCTCACCTGAGAGACCCCCTCAACTAGGAGCCCCTCCCAAGAGAAAGCCCTTCTCAAGGAAGCCCAGGAAGTGGTCCTGCTCCTCACATAGCCTGCAGTCCACATCTCGGGGAGGCACTGGATGTCTTTTGGAGGACGAGAAGACACAGAGAAGAACCAGAAAACAGAACAGGAGGGTTTTCTTTCCATGGGAAACGAGCTCTGTTTTGTGTGGTGCTCCAAGTTGGAGGGGTAGCAGGCGTCGGTTTTCCGGCTTGCTGTGGATGAAACCAAAAAGAAAGTGCGCAAGGGATGGAACAAGGTAGAAAACAAGCTCCAAAACGGTTATCAATAAGCGGGGGTCTTGTCTGTGGTTTAATAAAGGCATTTCATTTAGTCTCCTTTTACCCAGATCCTGACCAGGTGTCCGTGAAGGGCATGGCAGCCTTTGGGCAGTTTGCCCAGCCTCTGCCATGTTGCCCAGTCCTTTGCTGAGGCTGGGTGCCTTGTGCTCAGAAGGAGCTCAGGTCAACAGCTGGCCAGAGCAATCACAAAAACCGTGGCGCTGACCTATCGCTGGTGATGGTTCGACGAAGACGCACACCACGGCGGATGGCCACCAGCATGTCTTCAGTGGGGGGCTCGCTGGAAGCAGCCAGAGGAAGGTTGGGGGTCTGTTCTTCAGGACCAGGGTCTGAGTACACTGTGGGGAAAGGGAACTGGCCATCTCCCAGGGCATGAGCGCTGGCCACCAGCTCGCCAATCTTTTCCACCAGGCTGTGGCGGTTGGCGGCCAGCTGCTGCTCCTCTTCTGTGGAAGGCTTCCCAGCCCCAGTGTACACTGAGATTTCCAGGGTGTTGCTGCCCCAGCTGGCATTGGGCAGGCTCAGCCTCTTGGGGGAGACTTTGGTGAAGTCCAGGCTGTGTGCCGAGCAGGCATCATCGGCATAGAAGACACATTCTTCACTGCCCATCCGGAGGGGGCCGGCGTGACTGGGCGAGTCAGGCACAGTGGGGGTCTTGACAGGGACAATGGGGGGCCTGATGGGAATCGGACCAGCACTGGAGACAGTTCGGCGAACTGTGGGCTTGGTGGAAGGTGTGCGACGGATGGTAGCCACGCCTGGCATGGTCCCAGTTGGCAAGGCAGTGCCAGTGGGCAGGCCGGCTGTTGAAGCTGGTCGCTTAGTCTGGATCATCCGGCGATAATTCTGAGCAATATTGCTGTTGCGAGGGATGGTTGAGGATTTGTCTAACTCGTTCTGGTTGTCTCCCTCCATATCCCCATTCACAGAATAGCAGTTGTACTCTGAACCTGAGGAAGTGACAGGTGGATGCATCAGAAGCAAGGACCGGCAAAGGACAGCGAGTAAGAGAAATGGCAGAAATGGGCCATTGTCTAGAATAGGCTTCAGTGCAAAACAAGGACGAGGCATGTGCGTGCGACACACACATAAGACCTCCCTAATTCCTAGGCGCATGGGTGAGGGGGAGTAAGCAGAGTCATTGTATGACTATGTCCAAAGTTAACATAAGTAATCTGAGCTTCTGTGGCATTAATTTCTGGAGGCCACACCCCTGCCAGCCGAACCCCCGAGTCAAAGCCACCCCTCATGCTTCAGCACAAAGCTGCCCAAGCACAGGTTACTACCTGAGACAAGACATATTGTAGGGGGTACATCGAGGGAGTCCTGACTCGGCCTGCACCCTATTAATCAAAGCTTGGAGTTCATTTAAAGCCCACCTGCCTGGTGCTTCTTTCCACTGCTGGGAGAAATGAAGAGCTGGGCAAGGCCTTCAGCCAGCAACAGGGGTTGCTTAGGACAGGTGCGCGACGGGTGGGGTGGGACTCCTGGGAAGGCCAAAGAAGGTCCTGCCTCGCCGAGAGCAGCTGCTTCTGCCCCTTGGCCTTTTGGAAGACCCTTCCCAACTCTGGACTTCCCCATCAAAGGAGGGTCCTGTTTTCTGGCTATGAGGGATCTGCCAGAGATGCCCAACCCTCCTCACCTGGATCCTCTCCAGTGGCTTGGAGAGCCCCTTAGCATGCCAGCCAGGCGCCCCCCCCCCCACCGAAGCCAGCCTCCTACCTTGAGAGGGAATGGCATCCTCTGAGCAGAATGGGGTGGTGGTCTGGGTGCTGTAGCCACTGGAGAATTGCAGGCTATCCCGGCTGCTTTTCTGGTGCTCCAGGCTCAGGCTGTGAGTCAGCACCATGGCCAGCTCACTGGCTGCTGGAGACACTTCCTCCCCGTGCTGCTGTGAGGGGAAAACAAGGTCAGGGCCCAGGCACTTAGGTAAGTAGGTAGGTAGGTAGAGGGAGAGATGATAGAGAGCAGCAGCAGCGCCCCACGCCCTCAGCTCTAAGCAGGGCTCCTGTGCTCAGGCTGGCAGGCCTCTGAGGCCAGGGCCAGGAATGGGGGTGGGTCCTCTCCTTGGTGTCAGCATCCCAAGGCCGCCTCACTGCTGCCAAGATAGTCCTGACTCTGGCTGCGCCCTGAGCACCTTGCTTAGGCAGCGGGGAGGAGGGGGCTACAATTAGCAAGGCTTCTGAGCTTAGACAGAGAGCCAGAAAGACAAACACAGTCCTCAGGACCCCCCCCCCCAGTTCCTTGGCTACTTCCGCATTGACTCACAGCTTCAGGAACACCTGCCAGGGCCAGAGGCTGCTGCATTCATTGGCTGCTTAAGCCTTCTGGGATCGTTTACCTGGGGACCAGGATCAAGCGTGGGGACCCTTTGCTCGGCCCCTCTTCTGCAGAGAGCCACCTGCCTTGACTCCACCTGGTGAGGGGGGCAGAGGCCTCATCCTTGGAAAATCCCTTTTCCAAACACTTTCAAAATTGGGCCCATTCAATTTAGTGCCCCCCCCCAACTGCCCCACCTTCTGCTTTGTCTACTGGAAGTGAACAATTTATTTTATTCCAATTATTCAAATACCCAGAAATAAAATCCGTTCCTGGTCTTCCACTTGGTCTGTCCTTGGAATCTGCCTGGATCTGGGATCGCAGGCTGGGCAGTGATGGCTCAGCAGAGATTTGGGCAGCGGCCCAAATGAAGCCCCAAATGAACCCCCAGACCAGCCGAGGTGGCCCAAGGGGGGCTTCCTGGGGTCTGGCCGTACCTTGGCAGCAATGGAGGCTGGGGACAGGCGAGGTCTAGGACCATCCTCCAAGCTGAGCCCCGGATAAATCAGGGGGGGCAAGCCTGGTTCTGCCTCCCGGAGAAGCTCCACCCGATCCTTTCTGCGTGGCAGAAGATTTGCCCCCGGCTGCTCGTAGAGGGGGAGCTTGGACCAATCCTGAAAAGCACAAAGCCGGCGTCACTGGCAATCCCAGCACTGCGAGACCAAGCCAGGCAAGAGAGGAGAGGCCCCCGGAGGCAGGGAAGGGGACAGGGCAATTCTTGAGCCTCGAGGGGCCCGTCTCACTCGGCCTGTGAGACGCCACCGAAGCACAAAGAGGCCACGTTGGCACCCACTGGCTTTACAGAAGTCAAGCATCCAGACCACTCTGCTGCGCTAGGGCCCTGGGTATCCCCTGGAGCAGCCGGTCAGATACTCTGGCCATTTCCACTAAGCAGAACGCTCCAAAACAGTTATCGATAAGTGGGGGTCTTGTGTATGAAGGCATTTCGTTTAGTCTCCTTTTAATCCAGATCCTAACCAGGTGTTTATGAAAGATATGGCAACCTTTTGGCAGTTTGCCCAGCCTCTGCCACATTGCCCAGTCCTTTCCTGAGGCCGCTTAATACTTAGGAAGGTGCCCTGAGCTTCTCAGGTCTTGGCCAAAGGACTGCAAGGAGGTCACAGGGCTGGATCTCAAGCTCCACAAAGATCTGCTAAGGGATGAGTTTCCTCTGCAGAGAGTGGAAGGCTGGAAGGAGGACCGAGGATTGAAAACAAAAGCAGCTCTAAAGATGGAGAGGCTGGAAAGGCCTCTGCACCCCTGCTGAGCTTGGGGGGTGGCAGCTGAGGGAGGAGAACTGGTCCATCCCAGGGCAGGGCAGGACTGCTCAAAGGGATCGAACTCCCAGCGGAGGGAAGTGCCCGCTGGGTCCTTGTGCCTGCAGGCCGGAGGGCAGGGACCGCATGCTCCCCACGGCAGGTGTTCTTTCCTGGCCCTCCTGCCTGGCTGCTACAAGCCGCTCACAGAGACAGAGCTTTGGTCTCTTGAACGTCAAGGAAGCTCCTGGCAAGTGCAGAGTGGACGCCCCGCCAGCTGAGGCTGGCAAGGCTTCAGGGCCAAGGAGTCCAGGGTCACGGCTGGTCACAGAGCAGAAAGCAGCCAAACCAGCACTGGGGCAGGGGGCCAAGGCCGTGCGTCCGCCCTCCAAGAGCTTTGTGGCATGCACAAACTCTTCACCAGGTGCAGGTGGGCCCCAAAATAAAATGGGGGAGGGAAAGGGAGGGGGAACTCAAGCGACACCTTTTGGCCACCCGAACACAGTCCAGTGGCAGAGCCAGAACTAACCGAGGTTGGGGAGCTGCATTCACTAACAGATTGGCATGTTTCAGAGGCTTCGGACGATGCAGAGCTGGAGGACTTCTGGCACGCCCCAAGGCAGACCGGCGGCAGCAGCAAAACAGGCATGCACAGAAAGGAAGAGAAGAACCTGTTATAGAGGATGGTGGGGGCAACGGCAGCAGCAGAGACAGAGGGCAGCTTGACTGACATGCGGGGCAACAGCAGCAGCTTCCTTCCCCATGCCACCCTGGGACATTTCATCTGGGGCTGGACTGTCCCGAGGCTGGGAAGACAATGGAGGAGACGGGACAAGGCCCAGGCACAGGAGGAAATGAAAATGGCAGGCAGCTGGGAGAAAGGGGAGAAGCCTCCATGTCTTTGTCCCCCCTTCTGCCTGCGGTGACAGAGACCTCCTGAGAACTGGACTCTCCCTCCTCCTGACTTCCGGCTCCCGAACTGTAAGCAACCAGAGGGATCCTGAGAGCCCCCCGAAGCCAGAAGACCCCCAGGTCGTTGTCCTCGTGCCAGGGCCACCTCTGGAGATCTGCTGCAGTCGTGCCAGCGTTGGCCTTTGAATTGGGCAAGGAAAGCCACAGAGGCCCTCTTCTTCTCCCAGTCCAAGAAGGGGCTCCCACTGGCAGCAGCTCCAAGGGGGCTCCAGCTCCCCCCAGGCTCAGAGTTCCTCGGGCTCCCTCACGGCTCACCTTCTTCCTCAAAAAGGAACGGGCCCAATCCTTTCCCGAGGGACACCCCGATGCAAAGGGACAGCCCTCCCTGTACAAATCAGACTCCAAGGGGGCTGGCCAAGGAAAGAAAATCCCGAATCGCTCCCAGGAGAGGAAGAGGTCCCTAGGCGGCCCCCAGCTTCTTTCAGGAGATGGCACCAGCCTACCTGGCTGGGGAGGGGGGTAGTCAACGGTACAAATGGGACCACGGTTCCTTCTGTCTGCACTTAGCTCACCTGGCTGGTGATGTCCGAGGGCATTGGCGAGGGAGGCTTGGAGAAGGTGGCGTCCTGCGAAATGAAGCCCGAGTCGTGTGACGAGACACTGGACAGGCGGGTGTTGGCATTTACCGGTTGTGCCACACTATGGGAATAAAATGTGAAACCAGGTGAGATGCTGGGCATCTAGGGAGCCCCCATGAGGCGAAGCAGGATGACATTGGTTGCAATGTCAGAAGTACCTTAGGCAAGGTAAGCCAAGTGTTCCTTTACATGCCTTGCTCATGCTGGCATTGTACCCCTGGGGGAGGGAAGCCTTCAAGAAGTCAGCTCTTCCTCTTCAGCTGGGATCAATAAATACGCTGAATCTTATGACAGGAGACTTATATATGTCCCAGTTTACACAAATACTCCAATGTATTTTAATTCTTTCCTCAGCTAAAGGCAGAAGCGCATTCAAGAATTTGGGGGTGAGATCAAGAGCAACATTCTTAAAGACTGGAGCAAAACTTTTCCCAGATACTTCCAGCTGACAGATATTACTTCACCGTCAATGACAAAAAGCTCCACCCTTTGCTGGACCTGACGGAGAGAGCTGCCATTGCTTGAGATCATTTGTCATATCCCGTTCGAGGCCAATGCTGGCCACAGCTGCCCATGTGTGGCTCCCTTTGATTTTATTGCAAGGCAACTCAGTTTGGGAAGTATTGGTACGTCACAAGGACTCTGGCCATCAAGACAAGGTTATAGCTGGGGTATTGCTGAACCTACTCAAGCTTTGCAAGATCTGAGCCCAGGAGGAGTCTGTTCCTGCTATACGCCATTTAACGGGGAAAAAGAGATTCCCATTAGCTGACCCAAACATACCTACACAAGCTGGATTTGCGGGACCCTGAGCTGCCAGGGGAAGATGGAGGGGTTTGGTAAGACCAGCTGTAATCAGAGCCCTTCAGATCTTTGATCACCTGCAAGAGAAAGTCGTTTGAGCCAGGTCCCTGTTGGGCTCCCTTTAGCGCTTAGCTCCAAGGAACAGGTGCCTCATCTGGAGTTGCTCTGGGGCCACCAGGCCCGGGCTGCCTGCAGAGCTGCCAGCAGGAATGAGTCTCTGCTGGGCCAGGAAGGGATCTGGCCACAACAAAGCGGAAGGCCTGTCCGCCTTCAACTGCTCCAGAGGAAACAGTTCAAGCAGGTGGCTGTGTGAAGCCATTGGGCCCGAGATCACTTTCATGAACTTCTCAGCCTTCCTGGATCCAGCTGCCCAGAATGCAATCTTTTGGAATTATTTTTCCTATCTTAACTTGCCTTTCGTGTTTGCTAATGGCTTAAACTATAAGATATAGAGAGCAATAACCCTCAGTATTCTGAGTTTCTTTGAACTGATTGAAGTCCCGAGGCAGGATTGTTACCCAGAATGGTGATACAGGTAGGCCTCAACTTATGACCATTTTATAATGATTTGAAGCTACGATGGCTTCTGAAAAAGCCATCATAACTTGAAGTTATGACCATCACACTGTCCCCGTGACCACACGATTACAATCTGGGCCCTTAACAACCAGCTCACATTTATGACGACTGCAGCATTCTGCGGTCATGTGATCACAATTTGCAACCTTCCAAGCATGCAAAGTCAGTGAGGGAAGTCCAATTCGCTTAACGGCCATGTGATTCACTTAATGACTGTGGTGAATCACTTAATAACTGGAGTAAAAAGGATTGCAAAATTGGGTCCAGTCACGTGATGACTTGATTAATGATCACATTGCTTAGCAACTGAAATTCCAGAGTCCTGGGCCTAAGACGGAGCCTTGTGGTACCCCACTGCTTACTTCTCTCCACGTGCATGTAGTACCATTGAGGACTATCCCTTGAGTACGGTTTGTCATGTAAGTACCAGGTAAGGTTGCCTCCACAGAAAGTTACTACTGAATGGATATCATCATCATCATCATCAATCATTGTAGGTCAGAAGAGCAGCTCCAGGCTTTTGTGCCCTGGTCACTTAATATGACCAGGCTCCCCTTTAAGAAAGCCAGGCAACCAGAAAAGCAACCAGAGGAAAAGGCAGTCAAGTGTGGACCTCTTATGGGAACTTTAGTTCTGAGAAAAAAGAGGGGGAAAGGGAGGGGGAAAGAAAACACCTGGCCGTATTTTAAATTCTTCAAGAGGTGCAAGCAGACCAGAACCTCTTCTCTGAGCGCAGAGTATGGAAGAGCACAGAGTTTCAAGTCACAGATTCTGATGAAAAGCAGTAGAATCAGAGCAGGGAGCTAGACTGGTGGGCCCAACCTCTTCCCTGGAAGCTGCAAGCCCTGCCTGGATCCCTGCGCTAAGAGGGAGGAAGGGGCTGGCCTCCAATGCCCCCTTCAGCTCGAGGCCATCCTGGGAATATGGTCCACCACATCACCTGGCGTTTGTGCTTTCCTACCTGCTCACTGGCTGTTGGCAGTTTATGTGGATCTGCTGTCAGCACCACTAGGTCATCAATGATGCTCTGAAGGTGGGTGATCTCTCCCAGCATGGTGATCTCTCCATTCTGCCAAGGGATAAAGGAAAGGATGAGCCCTTGGCCATGTGGAGAAAAGACCCTTGAATCAGGAGAGAACCAGCGCCCCCCCAACACCAGAGCTTGCTTTTTACTTGGGGAAGGCCAGGAGGAAAGGTCAAGGTGAGCCCCACTTTCACTGTCCCTGGGGCCAATGTGTCACCCAGTGTGCCCACTTCAGCTTCAGAATGCCAGAGAGAGATGGCAAGACTCTCATGAGAAGAAGGGAGCCTCTTTTTGGCAGAGGCAACAGTAGGTATGTATTGAGGTCGTGTATATTTCCCATGACACTTCAGCCCCAAGAAACCTCTCATCTGATCTGTAGACTTCCAAGCTTCTTCTCCATTTCCTGTTTGTTCCTTCTCTCCACTCTGTTACTACAGTTCAGTTGGTCCTCAACAGGCTATGCAAAAGCCACAAAGGGCTGGATCTGCCAGTTGAGGTTTTGTGTAATTTCAGAAATGTAACTCAGGTTAATCTATATGAAACCTGCTGGGATTATAGTTACATTACTAAAATTGAATTAAAAAAATCATTCCAGGCAAACTTTCTTCCCTATAGTCCAAAGAAAATCTTTTTAAAATTCAGAATCAAGAACAGTAAACAAAAAGAGCAATTTGGGAATTTGTATATGTGATCTTATGGAGAACCACAAACATTCAAACCTTCAAAAAAGCTTAATGAAAAACGAGAACGGGGTTGACACCAAATTTGGCAGCAGGTGCCAATATTGTTACGATAAGTTACTGCAAGTGGGTTGCCAAGCACCAAAGCTACAGAACTCTCCGGCCTCATCTGCTCGGGCCAAGTGAAGCGTCAGCTGGGAGGAGAGGAGCCACAAGTCAAATTCTCTACTCAGAATTCTTTGGCAAGCGATCGATCGTATGTTTGCAGTATCCTTCCTCAGTAGCATCCTGGATTTCTAGGACTTTCCTTCCTCCTGAAGCGCCTCTGCTCCTCTATGGGATGGGAAAGGTCAGCCCAACCCTTTGACTTGCTAGCCCCAGAGCCCGGGGCCCGAGACAGCTCCCTGGGATGACTTCTGAGGAGACTGGCGCATTTATGGAGGAGGGGTCTACCAAAGCCTCTGTCTTATCTCTGGAGGGAGGGAGGGCAGCTGGTCTCACAGCGATGCAAGAACAACAGTGGAAGGGAGGCTGCTGTTGGGTCCCATCGACGGGCAGCCTGGCTGGATTCCATGAGAAAGGAAATGCTGGGCTGACCAGCAGGACTTTCTAGGAGGTCAGAGGATGATGGGAAAAGGATGGAGTACTGGGGCCACACCAGCAGCTCCTGGGGGTGACAGAGACAGGCCATTTTGTTTTTAATCTGGAACTCGGGGGAGGGGGCTGCTGCTCCCACCACACAGCCAGACACAGTGCCCCCCTCAGTGCCCCAAAGGCCACCTGAACTGCATTGAGTAAGGGATCTACCTAAGGCCTCCTAAAATTTGTCCTGGCCCATCCCGGCGTTTCCGTGTGGGGAATGGAACTGCACGGGAGGAGGGTTGCCCACCCACACCCAGCTCCCTCATGCAACCCTCCTCCCCCTTGTGGGCACAGTCTGTTTAGTTTACTGCCACCAGGCACCCCTTTGCCCTGGAAATCCCTCTTGAGAAGAAGGGTGAGGAGGGAGCATCTTCCAGACAAGAATTAATATTTATCCCAATATTCATAGGATTAAAAAAAAATCAGACAAAGGAGTTGAAGAAAAAGCTGAGATAAATTCTTAATTGGAATTTTCAATAAACATCCTACTTCGTCTCTAATTCCGCAGATGCCACTCTTGGATGAACCAAGGGCCAGTCTAGGAAAGCCTCCTTCTCCTCCACCTCAACTCCCACCCCAGACCCTCAGGGTTGGGTGGGGTAGCATCTGGTATCCAAGCACCTGAGAGGTGACCTTCCTTTTCATCACATCCAGATTGTCCAGATTCTGGATACAAAGTTTGGCACTCACCAGCATTCCTGGGAGTAGCTCAATAGAATGCCCTGGACATACGTTCCCTTTAGTGCAAGAGCTTCCACCTTACTTGCCTGAAAGCAGGATACGGGACTAATCTGAGGGCAGGCACCAGCAGAACTAAACCGATAACGGCATTATAATTGGGCAACAAAAGCCAATTGTTCACATGCTTAAAAATCAAGATCTGCCTGAACAAAGGGTGGGGAATCCCTTGGACCGCTGTCAGTTGCCCAGTCCCTAGAAGAGCTGCGTCTGACCATGGAAACAAGGGACCTACCACCACCGGCTGCAGATATGCGATGAAGGTGCAGAACCGTCCCCGTTCCTCCACCAGGGCCTTGCAGACCGCTTGCTTCTCTGTCTCCTCCAGGAGGAGATACAGGTCGTTCACATCCTGCAGGGCATTGTCCAGCTGAGGCTGCAGGTCCCCCTTGCCTATAAACAACAGCAGATGAGAGCCTCGTGGCTTCTCTACCCAAACCCTGGGCCACGGGTGTCCTTGGGCGTAGCTCTGGCTTCCCGCAGGTGTCATGCTGGGACAAAACCTGCTACACACTACATCAAACAAGCTGCACCAGGCCTACTTCTGCAGCTGAAGGTCTCTAGAATTAAACGATTGGGAGTCAAATGGCATATTACTATTACTATTCATAATAATAAAAACAATGCAGCACGTAGACAGGAGGCAAGATCAGAGTGGGATATGAAATGTATGGAGTGCATATAGGAGAAGAAACAGGCATTTCTAAAGATATAAACTCAACCTGTGTTCTGTTATTCACACATAGAACTATTCATATAAGTTCCCAAATAATTTACTGTGTTCATATAAATCTAAATCAGGGAAAAGAAAACACAATAACTGAGTCCCATGACATGCTAAAGCCTTCCAAAAAAACGTAATGGCTTAATATGATGGCTTATTTCAGAGAATACCCTAAGAAAATCACTTGTTCCCACACACTGACCCACTGCTGGTCAAACTCATTAGATGAATCTTGCAAAGCTTGTCCACTGTCTTGCCAAAAAAATGCCAACTTACAAAATCTTATGGGAAATCTGGTCTGCTCCAGTCCTCAGAGCAACGCCGTATGTGGCATCTGCTGGTTGTAAAAGGTTATGGCTCCATTTCAGGAAAAAAAGGAAGCTCCATTTACTGACAGGTGCCTGCTAACGCTCACTAAAATGTTGCCCAGTAATAATATATTCCAATATGGCTTGACCATTCAGGTCAACCTTCTGCTTGGTGCCAACAAGAGCATGTAGCAAACAAGAGCACGTAGCTCCTCTGCCATCTAATTTCTCAGCACTCCACAACAGGTCCTCCATCTGGCTGGCAGACCTTCGGCCACGAAAGCAGGGCAGAATGATCTGGTGATCAAGTATTTTCCAAAAGAGGAGGAGGTTCGGAGGACGCCGGCCTCCATCTTAAAGCTCTTCCAGAAAACATGCAATAATTCCACATAAGAAAGGGTTCGAGGCACAATGCCCTGCAGGGCTGCTCTCTTACAACTTCCAAACACCCGAAGGTGTTCAGTCGGGTCTCTTAAGGGGCGCCTTTCCTTTCCCAAACTCCATCCTTTGGGCTGAGGCTGGAATGATTCTGCTCGAGTGCAGAACGCGTTTGCCTTCATCGGCTTTCCAAGCTGTTTGGCGCTCTGAGCCCCCCAAGATGGAGTTTGGCCTCCTCCTTGATGGAGATCCCTTTGGTCCCTTCCTCAGGCAGTGGGCACTGTCACCCACCCATCCCTTTGGGTTCTGGACTAAAAGGGAGAATGAGCAGCAGGGCAGAGAGAGACTGGCCTTACTTCACCCCAGGGAGGCCAGATAAAAGGGTGGCACTCCAAAATGCAGAAGAGCAGAGTTGGTCGGGTCTTCTAGAGTAGCCTCTCCACCCACACCCACACCCCGTGTGGTCAGGGGGAATACATTGCTGTGGGGCCCAGCTCCCACATGGCCTCTTAATACAGAATCACTGTGTGTGTGTGTGTGTGTGTGTGTGTGTGTGTGTGTGTGTGTGTGTGTGTGTGTGTCTTTCTCCCCACTTACAGCACAAGAGCCAGGCACAATATTCGCTGGGCTCCCACCTGGTCACAGCAAGAGGGGTAGGTGGATCCTATTCCCTTTCAAACAGGCTTCCCGCCACAACTGCCAGCAGCCCACATGCATGGATGGCGAGGGGGGGAGCCACCCCCATGAGAAGAATCAGGGAAGTCTGGAAACAGCCAAGGATTTGGGGAGCCAAGGCTGAGATCCTGCTTGGCAGCAAAAATACTGAGGTAAACAGGCCATTTCACACAGAAATAATTTTGTCAGCCAAGTTCAAACCGACACAGAGGTGGGCTGAGTAAATAGCTGGAAGTTAGCTAATTTGTTTCGCCCTTTCAGAAGGATGAAAGGTGCCCTTTTGAAAATGGAGATCTGAGCACGTATCACAGCTTGGCCCATTCTGCTTTCACCGGTACTCTTGGGGATCCCAGAAGGTGGATCTCAGCATTGGTCCCACTGCTGAAATCCCAAGAGAGGAGAGCTGGACCAGGGAGGAGGAGGAGGAGGAGGAGGAGGAGAGGGGCTGGTGAGGATTTTGCACAGGCCCGAAATGAAACCCAGCCTGGATCCTTTATTATATGTTTCTTAATATTAGTAAGACTGGTACTATCTCGTACCAACAGGGAAAGACCCAGAATAACAAGCTTGAGGAACAAGGAGGCAGATTTCAATTTAAAGTTTACCATGTAAGTGGCCTTGAGTTGCGATGAATTACGGCAATACAGAAATGTTCTAATCTGCCTATGTACGGTTTAAAAATTCCTGATGAAAACAAGCTGGACTATGGAACCAATGACCTAGAGAACTGGCGGGCTTTTCTTCGCAGGCTAGAGATCTAACGGTCAGGAAGTTTGGATTTCTGGGCTCAGTCTCGTGTCTGGCTTGATGGCCCCTTTGACCTACAGGGTCCTATAATGCTGCATTTAGGTCAATGAAGTGCGTGTGCACACTAGATTTGCCAGCAGGGCAGAAAAGAAGGTTGGGAAGCAATTTATACAAGTTGTCAATGTGGGGATCTTGAAGCCAGCTCTCCCTTCTCGATGTGGCCCTCTACAATATAAGATCAGAGCTAACCTAACACAATGATGGCTTCATCAGGCTTCCTGAGATGGGTTGTGGTAATCCCTGGAGCAAGGGGAAGGCAAGGGCTTCCCTCAGAAGGAGAACCAAGTTGGAACTGCAGTCAGGTCTGTGAACCTCAAGGGATCCAGCTATGGTGGTGGCCCCTCATTTGAGGCTTCGTTCCATTTCAGGCCCAGCTGGGTGGGATGGTGAAAGAGGAGATCCCAAAGCAACGGCCAGGAAGGAGGGAGGGAGGAAGCTGGGTTGGCAATATTTGACTTACCAAGAAGCTCTACAGAGGAATGTGGGAAGGGAAAAAAAAAGGAGAGAGAAAGAATGTGTGAAAAAAGGCAGGTATCCAAACCACTTTGCCTCTTACAAAACAAACGCTTTCCCCCAGTGAGGCACCCACATTACTGCAAACTGCCCCTTCCCCTCTCAGCGATTACCGTAGCTTTTCAATCACATCTGGAATGAACATGAGATTCCCCTGAGCAGAGGACCCTGCAGGATGGCAGAGCGAAATTGGAGAATGTGCCAAAGAACCACCCTGAGCACATTTCAGGTCCCAGACAATCTTCAAAGGAGCTTCCTTCCCCCCCCCCCAAAAAGTAGTAGATGCAGAACTTCTGGAAACATCTGCTCCTTTCCATGCCAGTCCAGGGAAAGCCAATGGAGAGGTGCTCAGATGCTGCGTCCTCTCCTTGGCTTGCAGCCCTCCTGCCGGCTGGGTCTCGATAGCTTCAAATCCTCTGGCCAGGAAGGCTCAGGCCAAGGATAGACACGGGAAGAGGGAAGGTGGCTTCCAGGTGTCACCGTCAAGCGTCTTTCTGACATTCTAGATGTGAGCTGCCATCCAGGCCTTCTAGTTTTCAAGCCTTGAGAGCAGCAGCAGCTGAAATCTCTCAAGGATGCAAGTTCCAACTAATGCTGCACTTTTCCTGTCCTGAGGGGAAGCACATTCAGCTCTACCAGCACCACCACCGTCCCCGCCTGGCCGCTCTCCCTGCACATCATCTCTTCCATGGAGATGCCAAACAGCTTCTCTTCACTCCCTCAGTACCGCCCAATGTTCCTTCAACACCCTCACATCCTCACCTTTGCGTGCTTTCTTCTGAAGTTTCAGTGTGTCAGAAGACTTCTTCTTTATCTCATGACGGGCTCGTTTGTACTCTGAAGAGGCAGGAAAGAGGCCACCGTAAAGCTCCTACCTCAGCTGCTGTCTCCCCTGTGTGGCCAACAAGCGGGTCCCCAGGCCACAGCCATAGGCTTTCCTCGGGGCGGAAGACAAGCACCGAGGGCCACAGCCCACAACTTTCTCCCAGTCACCCCAGATGCCCACGCGCCCTGCCAGCCTCCTTTCCTGCGTGGCCTGAGCCCCTGGCTCCACAGGACAGCTCTACCTTTCGCATGGTCCTTGTCAAGCTGGTTGGCGGTCTTCTTCCAGTCCTCTATCCTCTCCTGTAGGGGGTTGATCAGGCTCTCCATGAGGGCGCTGCAGCCACAGAGAAAGGAACAGGCGAGCCTCAGAGAGGTGGCTTCCCCTGGCCAGGGCCAAGAAGAGCAGCAGAGCAGCTACCCCTTTTCTTGAAGCAGCCCCAGGAGGAGGGGAATGAGGAAACCTCCAGCCAGTGAAAGTCACCTTTCTCTTCTTTTGCCCTAAACCAGTGGTTCTCAACCTTTTTAATGCCATGACCCCCAACCGGTCGTAAGTCGAGGACTACTCAACCGGTCGTAAGTCGAGGACTACTCAACTGGTGCAGCACCGTTTGCAGAATGGGACTTTTGGCGGGCTCAGCAGGGCAGAGACAGCTTGGACAATTCCGATTGGCTTTTGAAAGCCAATAGAATTAGACTCTATTCAAGAGAGTCTATTCTATTGGCTTTCAAAAGCCAATAGAATAAAAGGGAGTAGCACAGCTAAGGAAAAGGGGAAGAAAATGGCGGACTGTTTTGTTTGGCGACCCCCGTGAAATGGTCATTCGACCCCAAATGGGGTCCCGACCCACAGGTTGAGAACCACTGACCTAAACAAAGCGGGCCTGGAAATGGGTTCCCTCTTGAACAACACCCAGGCTGTGTATACGTGTGTGTGCGTGTGCATGTAAAATGCTGCCATGCCAAGTGGCACCTTCTAGAACCAAGCAGAACCTCAATACCCTTCATCCCCAGTCCCTCCTGTTTCCACTGGGCATGAAGTCCTTCTGGGCCCAGGTCTAAAGGGAAGGGCACGGAATGAGCCCAGTGAAGGCTTTCCTGAGCAGAGAGCCAGCATGCCCTGCCTTTCTGATCCGGACTGCAGCAGAAGACCCACTGCTCACTGACATGCCAGCCAGGCTTCTGAGCAGTCCAGTGGATCTCCCTAACTCCACAGGTTGCAGGTTTTGCAGTTACCTCTGCTCTGCATGTCAGAAAAATGCCCAGGAGTTCCATCGCCAGGGGAAGGGGGACAGGGAGATTACACATTTTAGACCTGCCTGGGGTACAGGAAGGGCCCCCTGGCCTGGGGGAATTGGCCACAGAGCAGCAGGAGCAAGACTGGCCCAGGAAGAGGCCTTCCTTCAGTTCCCCCCCAAA